ATTGTTGCAAAAGGAAAAATCTCCGTTGTTATAAAAGATATCTTTGTTACTGAGATCTGTTTAACTTTTCTTTTATTTGGTTTTATTACACTTACTATCTTTATCAAATATGCAAAATAGTTTATCTTCAGTCTGGGAAAGTAGGTGGCTATAATTTGCAAATATGTCGGTCAAAAATAGAGTTAGATGTTCTTGGCTGGCACATTGTCAATGCACACAATTAGTTCCTCCCTCCTCTCTCTCACATACACAGAAAAATGTCTCCAGAAGAGTAAAATATTCACATTAATACTGGAAGTGATAGCGAAGAACCCCGGCCGACATCCCATCTGTTCCCATGAATTAAATTTAGAATTCATATGTAATATAGACATTTCTGTCTGAATATCATAAAGCCCTGACACATTCAGGCTTTCATTAAAAAGCTCTGAGATGTGACTTGAATAACAATCTGTCTTAGCTAATTAGTATTTTCAGTTTAGCATATTCACTTTCAGACGTATTGCTGTTTGCACATGGTAATTTAGGTAAACAGAGCCCATCCACAGCTGCATCAATTAACACTGCTAATCAAAACTGAATTCAGGTAATTAGGCACATTTATGCAAAAAGTGTGTAATTTGTGGGGAAAGCTAGATTCTTCAGTAATATTTCAATAAGTAGGAGTCTCTTTTTCCAAATAAGACAAGGAAATAATGGTAAATCAGTTCTAAGATGCACGTGATGCATACTCAGTGACAAATATCTAAATTAAATCTCACTAATTGGTCTGTATTTTCAGAAATTGGACTATGTTTTTTCATATAAATGTTTTCCTCAGTGTTTCTACATGGAAGACTGGATTCATTTCTGACCAAAGATTTAGTGATTATTCAAACAGGACTTTAAAAGTTAATGTTTCCTCAAGCAATTTTTGAACTGTTGAACGTAATGGCCCAACGCATTCTCATTTCCAGTCATGCAATTTCAAACGAAAATGCCCTCACTTCATTTTCAATTTAACTTCTTCAAAGAAGGCATATTTTAGTTTAAAGACAAGCTTCTAGAAATTTCTCCCACCACCCATTTCAAGAATGTAAAGTAGTAAATACTTCAAAAACATTCTGCCTTGCCTTTCAACGTTTTACCAGAAGAACTACAAGTTTCACATCCTTTCTTCCTCTTTCCCTCACTCCCAAACTAGAATTTGAAACCCTCCAAAAACTACAAAAGCCACATTAAAGCAGTGTAAGAAACTGTATATTCATAACAGAATTTTCATTTCTGTTGAAAAGGAGTAGTCATTGTAACATTAGACTCCAAGAGTTTTCATATGCAGCTATTCAAGTTATTCAAACTCAGTTCTCTGTTATGCACTCTTTCAGAAAACTACACCAGTCTGATGGACAAAAAAATGCAATTATCAAGTTGCAGATAATCTTCTATGATAAAAAAAGAAAAAATGCCTAGGCAATTACTGATTTTTAACAGAAGCCTAAAATGAATCTGTCATATTTGCCTGCTTTAAACTCCCTCCTCTCCCTCCTCCTTCCTCCACCCCCCAACAGGAAAAAAAGAGATGAATGAAGTAGTATAATAGTAGTATAATGCATTTATTCAGACTATAATACATTTACTCAGACTATAATACATTTACTCAGACTAGTCAGCATGCATCTTGTGCCTTGATTGCAGAGTAAATTTTGGGGAGGGATATACAACACATTTTAATCATGTGCAGATTCTCACCATGGAATATGTAGCTTTTGCTAAAAACTTCAGTTTGAAAAAAAAAAATTCTTTACAGCTTTAAGGTCTAACCCTATATAGCTATAAAAATTGCAGTGTGGTTTGCAATCATATGCAGTACAATGCATGTATCACTATTCAGAAAGTTTTCTCTATATAGAAAAGCGTGACTTGTTCTATTATGAAATATGCTTAACATATACTTCAGTTAAAAGTTTATTAACGTCTAATTTGGCTATTGGCACAGTAGAACATGTAGAGAATATTGACAGAGCATTCAGAAGAAAAATAAAGATTGTGGAAGGAATAAAATCTTGAATTGTTTTCAATAATCACGATAACTGCTAATGTAGTGAAATGTTAGAATGCTGAACAAGATAACTTCTAAACAATTATCAGGCCAACTTGAAACTATATGCAGATCCCTATGCCATCCTCACTGGGGGCAATGGGAAACAATGTTGTAACTCCACCTTTTTTCCATTTTAATGTTTCAAGAAAGAAACACTCACCTATGCGTCATACAAATCAGTAAGCAGCTGTCCAGTCTCTCAAGAGTTATCAACATCAACAAACAGTGAATATCATCAAAACAAACTTATGTGGCCCATCTCTGAAAGAACTTGCCCTGTTTAGCAAATGCTTTTTCAAAAGAGCAAAACAGAAGTTGTAATGACTAACAGTGTTTATTTTAGATGTTATACTCTGTAGGAAGTGAGTACTGTGACAACATTCTAGCCTCCCCCCCTGCCACCCACCTGTTTGTTAGTATTTTTTAGCTTCAAGTAGTCAGATACAGTAAGTATTCCAACAGACTTTCCAGAAATACTTTACTACGTTGCTCCATCTCTTCTGCCTGACTACACTGGTAAATATAAACAAACACATTTAGGAGCATCTCTTCACTGAACACATATACAGCTTACATTATTACTTCACCATGGATTGTCCTGATGTGCCACTCATTTGAAAACTTTCTATCATGCCGCAGCATTGCTATTTCCTGCAATTTGGATTTTTTTTTTTTTTGGTATCGAGGTTTAATAAATGCATGGCAGCATTAGGTGAAAACAGACATAATGGATACCTAAAAAAAAAAAAAAATTCTATGAAATCTGGCTAGTTCCAAAAGAATTTCTCACATATGCAGCCCCACTCTTTTCCTTCTCCTGCATTGCTCTACTGTAAATTATGCAAAGGGATGGAGATATCTAGCTACTAAAATTAAAAAAGTTGGGTGCTACATACCTACTATTGTTAACTAAAACACAGTGGATACATATGACTAAAAAAATCCTATAAATACTGTTTTCCTCAATTTAAAGAAAAGTTTCATCCTACTTCAAATACTAGAAAGCAGGATTATAAGCAAAGAAACAGATACGTAAAGTTACTATATATTTTGTCTATAGATCATATATCTCGATATTCATAACATAATAACAGTTGAAATGTTTCATGTCCCCAGTTTTCATAGGGTTAAATCAAGAGCATGCAAAAATTTTTGTTTGAGAAAAGCAGAAGCAAGAGCCCAAAGCCAGCAATCGCTACCCTACACCTTACAAGAGGAAAAAAAGCTCAGTAATTTACAAATGTTGAAGGAAGTGCTAGTTCCATAATTAAAAGCCAGGCAGAGATCCTTTTGGCAAATGGATCTCTTTGTTAAACATCCTACTAATCCAAGCCTGAAGGTATAATTCAGTACCCTGGAGGATCTCCTCTATACTTTTGCCAGCTGTTCCATTTAGGTCACTCCACGACAACTTTAGCTTTTATCTATTCCTCACTTTCCTCACTGGGTCCCAGAAGCAGCAGCCCATCTCTCTGAAGGCTGTTTAAAGTGTAAATGAAAAGACGAGACAGAAGTGAGCTGCTACCTCAGGGTCCTTAATTTCTGAACTGCAATTCCTTGGACTTCCCTACCTTGGCAGATGCAATATGAAGTCTTCCTTGATGAAAAGTGAGGAGCAAAACTGAATATGGAATGCAGATAGCACATTCATTATCATTTTAATGCTTTGCAGCTGCAGGAAAGAATAGGAAATTTTACTAGGCAGAAAGTCCACTTAAGGCCAAACAGTTGCAGTAGCCCTTCCGCCCAATTCCCAGCACTACTGCTGCTGGCATACAAGAAAAAGCCTTCAAAGAGCCAATTTAACTCTTCTCAGGTGGTCAGAGAGGTGTGGACTAAGGGAGAGGAAGGGGAGGAAAAAAAAATGAAGCACTGATGCTTCAAGGGCTTGTTTATGCAAACTGAATCAATCTCAAGTTATCAAACTGCTTCTAATTTACCACTATTTTGGTGCAAGACTTTGAACAAACTCATTCAAACAGTCCTTATCCAAAGCAACAAGAACACATGAATTTAAAATGGATCCAATTATAATGGTTCTACTAGTCAGTGTAAAGTTAAGCCCTCAGAAAGTCACTATAATCCTCCAGAACTGCTTTTAGACAGTACACTGTTTTATAGCAACACACTGATCTTTACTCTGGGAAAATTAAGTGTAATTCATTACAAAACAAACCACTGCCTTGACATTCGTTTCCTAAAAAAAAATACAGAGCAAGGCAGACACTCTGGGAGGAATTTCTAAATGTTCAACTTTTAATGAAAGATTCATAAAAAAAATGCAGCAAGCGTTATCACTGAGGTCTTTTCAATTTAATATTAAGTAATAAAGTTTGCACACACAGATACCAACTGTAACATGAAGCAGGATTATTAGATCTATGAGGAATTAACTTTCTAGGTGTTCAAAAGCCATTCATTAGTGTAGCCACAGCGACTCAGACCATCTGTGTGACTTTCCACATGTGAGTAATCCCACTAGCTTTAGTCAACTGCTAAGATCATGTCCTGATCCTATCCATCCAGCAGAACATACCAGCTCCAACCTAAGAAGCCATTTGTGCACATTTAGTAGGAAGGGCTGGAATCACACCATTTAAGCAGAGCAGTGATTTTCACACCTGCACATAGCCTGCTCCTGAGGAAGTGCTCCGTCAGAAAGTGCAGCTCTGCAAGCTTGTAAATCTGACTTTTTAAGGGTTAGGGAGAAGATAAAAACACACAAAGAGCAACATACATGCAGCTTTACTTCTCATTCTGCAATGGCGCACACAGGTAAGCAACCCCACTCTGACGAGCTGCCTTGCGAGGCTGGGTAGGAATCCTCACCTGTGCTACGCTGCCCGCTCATGCACATATCAGCCGGCTCAAGGTCCACACTAGCAGATAAAACACATTCACAGTGACTTTCACTGCTTACCTTGCTGATGGGCTTCCGTGCATTCCTGCTGACATTCCTGCATGTGAGGACTCATCGCAGGCAGCTGCTCCCAAATTCTGTGTTCCCATGGCACAGCTGCTCCGGTGGTGACGAGCAGAGCAAAGGCTGTTGCTACTGGCCAGTTCTACCAGAGCCCAGTTGTGCGCCGTCTGCAATCACATCTTGCTGAGTGCAAAAGGAAAATTAAAACATTTTTTTCCCCTTACACTCGAATGACACAGCATACTGTTCTGTGTTTGCATTTAAATTGGACAGAATAATTTACCACTGGCTTTTAATTTCAGAAGGGTTAATCACCTCAGCAAAGGTCAATCAAACTTTAATCTCCAATAAAATTGCAGTAGCTTCAGTCACCTGCAGGACATTTATTATATTCTTATTTCCATGCAAAAGAATGCATCACTAATCTTCTAACTCCTTACATTAGCACATTTGCTATTAACATTTTACTAAAATTATTAATTCCTCTGAAACTATTATAAGAGCTCATTTCTACACATCTCAGAAGATAATCCTGTTAAAAACCAGCCACATCTACTGTGACATTGCTTTAGTTGTCTGCTCTAATCCTCACAACCGTTTGATACTCCAACCGAGTTCTAACAATGCACAAAGTCTCAATTACACAAAATATTACAGGGTTTAGTTTAGAACAACAATATACTGTTTTAGTAACTTAATCTTCCCCATTGTCTGTAATCACAATACTAATCTATTTTGCAACAGTTCACAGCATTTTCTATTCAAAACAAAACATAGATTTTTAATTTTGCTTAGCAGCTCTTGAAAAGCAGTAGATTTATAAGGATAAGTTAAAACCTAGAATCCATTTCTGATGATAGGAATAACCATGATACAGGAATATCTTACTGGCCTGGAAAAAAGTATTTCCTCACAAACCAGAAAACTCTTTTGAGGCATAGACCATTAACAAAGAAAGTAATAAAGAAAAATTATTTTAGTTGGTATTCCCAACTTCATCTAGTAATTAAAAAAAATTATCTGCCACTAAATTGACTGAGAACCGCAAAATATCTCTGAAAAAATCAAGTTAGTATTAGTTGCAAATTGCCATTGCAATAATATCAGCTCAAAACTAGAAAATCATTTAACTCTAAACAGAAAACTGTAAAATAGAAAATAGCTCATCCCCAAAATATATTGGTTTGAAATAATCACCTATGTTAGTTATATAGCAATACATTCCTTTACAAGTCTACTCTAACAATTCCACCTAAATGCTCAGAACTATTTTACCTGTAAAGATACGGAGGAGCAACAGAAAACTCAGGAAAGCTCGTTACAGAACTGAAACACAATGCAAACAATTCACTTCCCAAATTTTAGAAACTGACACCAAAAAGTCAAAATTACTTGGGCAGAGAAATAATAGTACCACCAAAATAAATGGGTCTCCCTTATTCTCCTACCATAGCTATATTAGCTCCTATGAGAGAGAGAAGGAACTGTCATATTCCATCTCATGTCTATTTAAAATTAATTTTTTAGCCATAATAACATTTTGACATACCGTAATGTAAATAAACTGTTCTTTCCCATCCCAATATTTCCTTCTCTGTCTCTCTGTCTCTCTCTGTCTCCGTCTCTCCCCTCTTTTTGTTTTAATATATGGCACACAGACAGACACACGCCCCCGTCACTGTCAATATGCACACTCATTAGCAATATGTCAGGCTGGCATTTTCAACACATACTCCAGAGCATAACTGAACTACCACGCAGCACACACACGCACACATGTAAAAATACAATAGCAGAGAAGAAGAGCTCAGCAGAATAATTTTTAACTTGGAAAACTACGTAAACGTACAAGAGGAATAAGCGAGATTCTCATTTTACAAAGGTGCTGCGAAGTGGCTCTCCAGCTAACGCCACCGACATTGCTCTCTTTTCACACACACAAACACACACACACACACAGAGATATGTACATGCAAAAGCAAATATGTTAGCAAGATATTTTAACACTGAATTATGAACGCAAAAATATGGGAATTTCCCCAGGGGGATTTTTTGCCTTTCAAATTACATTCTAACTTCAATTAATGAATGAAAAGATCACAAAACATAAACCTGAACTGAACTATGAGTTCCTTGAATATAGACTGTCAACAGCATTTTTAGTTCCTCCAACTGAGGAAATTAGCTATGAAAGCTACTGTGTCCATATATTTTGTGAAAAGCATCTGGCAAGGAAGCAAAGACCATTTAGACAGGGTGAGTAGCACTGAACTATGGGTTTGATTATTCAGCTTTTGATGCATTGATAAAACATATCCTAGATTGCTATTGCAACTGCTGTAAAATACAGAATAGCTTCACACGGTACCCTGAAATGAAAGGTACCATCAAAGGACTATCTACTGTATTTTTCAAAAGAACAAACAGAGAAGAAATGTAAGGGGAAAGAAACATACCTTTAGTGATCCCAGTGAACGACTTCTCAGCACATCTACATAGTCCTGCGGCTCCATCAGTACAAAAGTTGACACTGCAGTGCTTGTGATCTCTGTGACAATGGCATCATACTGCCGGCAATTTTTTCGATTAAACTTCTCAGACATGGTAGCAACTTTGTTAATTATGATATTAGCCAGCTGGCGGGTACAATCAATCATCCACTGTAAGGAAGCCAGACAAAAAGACATCTAATCATTGCAACCAGAGCAGATAAATTTTGTTCCTTTCTTATATGTGTCACAGATTCTATCCCTCCTGACCCTCTACACAGCCATCGACTGTCAAATTTAGATTCAGCAAGCTCCCAGCTTTTCTTTATCCCTGCCTTAGATCTGAAACTCCTGGTTATCAGGAAGACAAGCATCACCAGCTGTCTCAGAACAGGAAAGCAATCAGGTGAATAGTACTTATTATCTCTCGTTGCCTTCTGAGGAGTGACAAGATTGATTTTGGACCAACAACATGTCCACATCTCAAGCACAGCTACTACAGCATCAAGTCTAGAATGTGGTGCATATGTAAAGTTGACTTCAACCTTTATTAATACTGCATACCAAAAGTTTGAGGGTTTCTTCTTTTTTTTTTTTTTTGTTTTAGTTTGGATTAAGGGTGTTTTTTTGTTGTTGTTTGTGTTGTTTTCCCTAAAAGAACTCTAAAATATTTTTTCCTTCACAGCTGCACCAGATATTCCCTTATTCCAGGCCTCCTTCCCCCCACCTCAAAAAAAACAGGCAAGCTGAATGCATCGTTACTCGGGGGACTGTGTTTCACAGTTGGATAGTCTTAATTGGGCCCACAGAAGCAGTTAGCTACCATTAAAGGCTTCTTTGGATACATCTTCCTCTCAACTAGTCTGATCGTCTATAAATCCCCAGTAGTGAAGCCTACACTTTGAGAAGGTTAAACATGCAAATACATTAGAAGCCCAAAATATAAAAGCATCCTAACAAAATTTGAGCTGATACTGAACTTCAGCATTGCTTTAGAAAACAATAACATGCTTGGGCTTTTCATTTACAGCAGCATCAGACAATAGTGCGTTCTTGCTGTAAGACCTTTTTTTTTACAAACCAAATACATTCCAAAGTAGTGAAAGGTAGTTCATATAAAGTAGAAACAAAGGTTACAATAGAATAAAAGCCATCACAATAATGCTTTCTGGTACCAAAAACCCCCGGTTTGGTACATTTCAAAGTGCCTGCTGAGAATTCTATTTAACTAATTAGAGCACAGTACATTAGTCAACTAACACAAATTTATAAGGGCATGCAAAAAAGATGTTATGACCACTTTTGGATTAATGGTACACTGCATGCCCTGGCACTTGGACCGAAGGCTGCTTTTCCAAAACCAGACAACGATCTTGTTTATTTCACCTTAACATTAAAGGTGGTATCCAGCAATACATTCTCAATGTCTAACAAGAAGATGTTCTGGACTTTGCAGCATAAAATTATCCTTAAGTAAATCCATTGACATCAATAATTTTTTTCTCCAGTTTCCACATACAATTCAGATAAAATTTTCACATGTTCTTGAAATACAAACAGAAAATAGTGACAGTTCGAAAACACAAGCTTGTGGGAGTAGCAATTATACCCTGACCTCATTCCCTTGAAAACAATGTTGCCAGAGCCTTCCCTTTCAGAAGTCAAACTTTTATTTTATGTATCTATCTAATTTGGAAAGTTTACAAGGCCAAATACAGGAATTGTTACGGTGTTCAGTATTGGTCGAAACACAACTAATTGCTTTCTGGTATTTGTTGGAAAGGATGAGAGCAGGAAAATAAATTACATGCTCAAACGTAATGTCATCACTCCAGTCATTCTGGATGACTGATGAAGCATTCACCCAGCTTCTCAGGCAGATACTGAAGACTGCGCCAGTTCTGCACTGCGACCTGTACACAAATTTGTTAACAAGTTGAGGTTTAGCTCAAATACCTCCACATCACATTGTCACCAATGCAATGACAGATGTTGTTAGAAAGCTCAGTCCTAACCGAACAAAAATGACAAATTCACTTCATTTTAATCAGAAGTTAAAGAAGCCCTTTGTGCATTACTCCTTCTTATTTCTATTGCTGTACTTGAATCAGATCTTGCTTTCTCTAGACAGCCTTTAAATATGAAGAAGTAGTCTTGATCCTAGCACAGAGTTTTAAGGCAAGAGGAAATAACTGAGTGTAGCGAATGAATGAGGGACTTGGGAAGGACATAAACATAGACGGCTGCCGTAACAACTGATTTGTTTTTCTGGAAGGTGTACAAAACACATCAGATATATAAGGCTATCCATAGCAATGTCTCCAGTCAGGCACCAGCGTAGACATGACTGGGTTTCTAAGCTGTCAGAACAGATCTGAGCCAGTGGAACTGGAAAACAAACAGGATTTTCTCTGACAGGTCCAGATTGACAGTTACTTAAGAGTAGCATGAAAGAGGGATCGAATTTGGTCTCCCAGCAGTACTTATATTTGCCCATTTTCAATAAACACATTGGGTTTTCCTCTCACTCACACTCCTTCATTACTTCAGGGTTTGCTGTGGAAAAACATGGAATTCATTTCATCCTACCTTCAGCTATTAAAAACAAAGAAACTAGGTCGGTCATCTATGCTTTCCTTTGTCATCACTAGGATGAAGGACAGCATGACAGGGATCTGCTGAGAATGAATTACCATACTCATTTCCAGAGTTTGACACTGGTGGAACAACTTGTTCACTGGGTGTACTGCTCTACTAGCTGTCATGGAAGCTACAAAACTGGTCGGAATTCAGTTTTAACCCTGCTTGGAGCAGGAGGTTGGACTACATGACCTTCTGAGGTCAACCTGAATTATTCTATTAATCTATGAACTCACTAAAGCAAAGCAACATAAACAGCAAAAGTTATTAGATGATCCAAATTACATGAATTACATATGTAATTCTTTCAGGAGGGCGGGACAGCTTCCCTGAGTAGTTTGGCCCTCACCTTCCTCAAACCTGTTGAAAATGCAGTCATTTTTTACCTTTTTTTCCCCTCCATTGAGACAAAAAGATGAGAATACCAAATCATATATACAACAAGAGGTTCAGAGAAAAGGAAACGTATCAAAAGGAATACAAAAGGATAGTATACAAAGACCTCCATGGAAGCAACTAGACAATGCAGTTGGTATAGGAAGAGAAAAGGAAAGTGAGTGGTAAAGCAGACTCAGGGTGAAGAAAAAGAAAAATTTCCTTAAGGGGAGGGAGGTAAAGCAAAGGATAGGCCATGGTTAACCTAAAGCACATGCAGTTAAACAAACAAAAAACAAACAAAAAATCCAGAAGTACAACCATAATAATTTTGGTCTAGGCTCAAAGGAAAGGTTTATTCTAGTAAAGACGACTGCAGGATTTCCACAGTGTTTACTGCATTTTCAGAACACAGAAAATTGCCACCATAAAACCTTCCAATAACTTCCTAGAAGGAAGCACAGAAAAGAATAGGATCTATGACCTAAAGCAAGAAAGAAAATAATATTCTAAACCATTTTGCATGTTTTAGAGATACAGTTGCACAATACCATTTTACAACCCCAGACTGACAGAAACATATTTAGTTTCGGTTATGTATACCTATTCATAGGCTTAACCTTAAAAATGCCTCTCTAATAAACCTTTCATTTGTACTCTCCTAAATCCTGAAAATCTTCCATTCAGCACCTCATTACAAAAAATTAAGTGAAATTAAGTGGTAATATATGTAAATTATACATTTTAAATAATGGGAAATGTAATGAAAGGAATACTGTTCACAATGTAATCCAGTGGGCTTTTAAATTAACTTTTAATGTTCAATGGCTGCCAATTAATAAGGAGCTTACATGTTTGACTGTGCTACAACACACAAACTAGGGGAAGGAAAGGAGCAACACTAGGGCATGAAGCCAATGGAGGATGGTGCACATATGCCAGTCGGCAGGTTTAGGGGAAGACATGTGGCAGAGATTGGGTCTGAGAGGCAACATCCTTCTGGAGTGAACCTGTTACTGAAATGAGGAGCTTCAAAGGCTCGGTGACACACTGACCCTCTCACTCATTGATTCCCCCCACACTCCCAGAAAGACCATATGTAGTTACAGAGAGCTTATGGTATAATTTCTCATTTTGTCACATCATACGCATCAAAAATAGTCATGGATCTTTTACTTTTTTAATTTTATTTTTTTAGTAGTGCAAATCAAGAGTTAGCCTGACTCATAAACTGCATGTATATAAACTGCACGCATAGCTATGAAACCATGAAGTTTCATATCGTAAAACCATGCCTGCAAAGGTCACGTGTAACTCTTGAGGGGGAAGAGCCACAAGGAAGATCTGAAGAGGCCACAGTGTTATTTCAATCATTAGCACAGAATGAATAAAGGTGAAATATTAATGCACTGCAAGAAAAACACTTGTGCTTATAACTCTATGAACAGACCAAGAAAGAAAAAAGGGAGCAGACAATTCCTCCACCTGCATCAAAATGAAGAGGTCCAGTCGTACCCTGCTATAACATCAGTACATGTGAACTAAAGGACTGCCATGACTAGCTGCAGGTGAGACTGAAAACTGAATTCTTTCCCTTGCCACTCCCTTTTCCTTGCACCAATATTTTGTTATCCTGCCTCCTGCACTAATAGTCAGACGTACCACATTTTAAAATGATGCTGGTTCAAATACCAGCATCCTGCCTTTAACAGTGTCCAGTAGCAGCTGTCCAGGAAAAACATGTAAGGGCAAGCACAGAGCTATTTTTTTTTTTCCTTGTATACTAATTTATAGCTATTTTGTCCCTTGCTCCCAACATCTGCCCTCTCATAGAAGTTTACTTAGTATATGAAATAACAGGATGGCTTAATGCAACACATTAGACATGATTTCAGTACAGTTCTCCTGTGTCGCAGAATAACAAAAATCAGTACCAAGAGCGCACAGTTAAATAACTGGGAACATATCTGTAAAACAGGAAGGCTCACACGAATAAGACACTAAAACTGAGATGAAATCCACAAAAATAATTATATTTTAATTTAATTTCAGAAAAAAGAAAAAAGGCAAGGGCCATTCACACTCAGACTACTAACACTTCTGTATTAGGAAGTTTTGTTGTATCATTAGGTAAAGAGACAATAAAAAACTTGCAT